TAACTTTTCCCCTAGAGCGGAAAGGCGAAAAGTGAAAGATTTCACGTGAACTTATGATCATAGAACTCGGCGAAACGTTGAAACGTGAAACTTTTCACGTGAATTTTTCCGCCATCAAATGTGATAGCGGGAAGGTGAAAGTTTAGTGACTCGAAGTAACTAGAACATTGAGATGCAAGAAACGTTTCTAGTTTCTAAAGTTATCATCCAAGGAGAACAAAACAATCAAAATAATATCAATATGACGTCAAATTGACATTATTTTGATTGTCTTTAAAACAATTCTTTAAAACAATCTTTTTTTTTTATTAATGATATTTCTAAGATTATATAGATTTTTATAAGTATAAATGGTAAACATTTACATTTCACTATTATCACGTTATTCATCATAATATATACATTTCCTTTTGTTTACTTGTAACATTCATTGTTATTGCTTTATTTGTTTATTTGTTTTATTTACTATCTATCAGTGATTTACAAGGTAAATAAGGTTATCTCTCATTTTTGGTAATTTCACTTTCCGCTCATTAGTTATATAATCGCACTATATTCGTGGAAAAGTTCGCGTGAAATCACTAAGTGAAAAGTGAAAAGTGAAAAGTTCCACTGGAAATTACATGATCGCTGCCCTGAATGCGCCCATTGTTCCGTTCCGCTGTAATTTCCGCTCCATGTGACTCCAGCCTGACGCGCCCATGAGTTCTTACCTTAAGAGATAAACATACATTTAGGTTATATTAATGAGTATATTGATGGTTAACGGAAATGTATACGTTGCTGCACGGTTTATACAAATATTTGATGCAAAAGGACGAATACTTCATATTAATTTTGGGGCTCGACAATGCGGGTAAAACGGTACGGCACTCCAGAACATTCCAAGGTTATAATGTGAGAACTCTGCAGTTATTGATTATTTGTAGACTTATCTCGATGCGGCGAAAACGAAATTCACGAAGAATTACAAGGGTATGAATCCAAATAAGATCACGACTACTGTAGGCTTGAACATTGGCAAAATCGACATTGCTGGAGTATCCTTTAACTTCTGGGATCTCGGTGGTCAAGAGGAACTTCAATCTCTGTGGGATAAAGTAATTAAGTAGCCATAGAACTGTTTTAGTTTTAAAAAATGTTTTTTTCATAATTTTTTTTCTGAAAAAGATATATAAGCTATAAGGGTCATTTTTTTTACAAATAAAAATACATTTATTTGATTATTAAGAGCATTTCATAATATTATTCTAATAGATACCTATTATAAACATAAAAATTTAATTATGATATTTTAGTAGTTTAACTGCACTTTTAAGTCTGATAAAATTTGGTACACACACAGTGCATACAATGATTATAAATATAATATAAATTTACATGAAATTATACATATAAACAATTAAAGATCCAAGCTAGACTTATAGGCTTCATATTCGTATTAGTTATGTTCTTACATTAACAGTCTTTAGTATTGAATATTGATTATAAATATGTTATATATGTGTATATTGTATATATATGTACATATATAATATAATATTTATATATATAAAACAAGATATATATATATATATATTTGATAAAATATAAAAAGATTGTTATTGCAATATCTCGTACAAATTGACGAAAAACGATACAAATAACATTTTGAACTAATCTAATATAAATAAACCTTCAACAATTTTCTGTAAAATATAATAATAAATTATAATTATTAATTTTTTTAACTGTAATTCAAAGAATACTAACTATTCATTAATAATATATTATATGATAATGATATGATCATAATATAATACGACTACCACGTGTGTCGGAATATAGGTAAATTAAATTGTAATCGTTTGTTAAAATTGATATACGTTGTCTTATTTTGTCAAGCTACAAATGTACATACTATTGATTATACAGTTTGGTAACTATATTTCATCAACCAACAAAACAAAAAAAGGCATAACTGAAACGATACGCGATCACAATGACATAAGTTAACATATATTAGCTGCAGTTTATGGCCATGAAGAAGGACCCAATAGAAGAACAAGATTGCGTAGTTAACGTTGTAAGCGAAAAATTAAATAGAGAAAAATTTTTTCAAAAGTTTTGACATATATAAATTCAGGAATTTTATTCATAACTATAATGTAATGTTCAAAAATAGATCCTCGTAAATTAGAAAACCCAACAATTTAAACCTTTGAAAGCTAACTGCAAAAATTTGAACGTTTCTAAATTAAAACGATTACCTAACCACAAAACAAAAGACCCAATAAATTTCAACCTTTGAAAATTAACCCCAAACATTTGAACCTTTCTAAATTAAAATGATTATCTAATAATGTAACCTAATAATTTAAACCTTTAATACTTTAAATGATATTATCTAATATAATATATTACCACGAAAAGTAACTGATATATTACTAAATGTGCCAGTTCAAAGTGAACGTACATTATGTATATTTTCTATGTTGAATATGTACCACGAAAAGTAAATGATAGATTACTCATTTTTAATTGTTATTTTTAAATTAAAATTTAATATAAAAATAATATACTGAAAGAGTACCTTAACCGTAAGTCGAAACATATACGCTTTATTATTTATTTTAAATAAATTACAAAGTAACACTGATAACATGTGTTAGCTCATATTGGCATTTATTTATTTCTTTATATATGTATATACACATATATAATTTACATTTAATTATTGAAGCATCAAAGATTGAGACCGATTTGGGCGTTGATCGATATAGACCTGTAATTCTTACTTTCTTATTAATTGTGTTTTCACATGTACGATCTAATAAGATTTTTATTCTTTTTATTTATTCTGTTTTTTTCAATATTACGTTTTAATAAAAACAAATATTCTCCTTTTTCATAGACTTTGCACATCATGCAGTATTTCATGATATTAGATATCTGCAACCTGGTTCATCTAAAACAAAAAATTGAAAGAGTCTTAAAGTATATTAAAAATTGTAGTTCCAATTAGATTCCTCTTTTTATTTCTTTATTTTTATATTCTTTTTTAGATACAAAATTAAATTTTTGTCAAAAATTGATTTTTTGAGTTTGAAAGTCCATCATTTTTATTTGTTAAAAGTCCAAAATTAAAAAATTGCATTTAGAAACTCTAATCTTTAGTATACATTAATTTACTTTAAGACTCTTTAAATGTTTTGTTTTAGATGAATCAGGTTGAAGATACATCTAGTACCACATGAGAAATGCTGCAAGACCTAGGAAGATGGAAAGAAGGGTATTCTCCAATAAAACAAAATAAAAATTTAAATAATTAATATAAAAACTAGTTATAGACTTTTTTGTTAAAAACAAATAAACAATCGTGAATTATAAGGCTATAAAGAGTCAAACGCAGTTGATCATGCGAAAAATTAATTTAATCTTACAATTAAAAATACAGTCGAACGTTTCGGTCTGTGATTTAGACCATCTTCAGCGACCAAGTGATAATAAATACAAAGCTCCATATACTCCAAGTTATAATGCCAATTGAAAAACAATTATTGTTAATTAACAAAATGTTTCCGTGCACCAACCAGAGGTAAAAGCATCGTGTGAAGATGTGTAGCAAAATTTTTTAAAAAACAGTAATATGTCTGTGAAAAGACAGTTAATAACATATATTATTCTATTAAAAATTATCCAGAGAAAATTAAAACAAAAATTTTTAAATATTTAAACACTCACCCTTATTGGTGGACAAAAACATAATTACATAATTTAAATTCATAATTCCATAAATTTAGACTGACTAAACATATATGTGACCGTATTCATCAGAAGGAAACGATACAATGAGGAACGTTAAATTACTGACAACAAAATAAATTAAAAATAAATGATTAGGTCAAATCATACTGTTGTCAATTTTTCTAAAATATCTATGTA